TGCTTTCCGGTGTGGCGAAACAGGGTTCAGGGATTCTGGGTTTAGGAGCTTCGATGTAGGATTTTAGGGTTTAAGGCTTAAGGATCAGGGTTTAGGGTTTAGGGGTTTAGGGTTTACGGGTTTAGGGTTTTGGGGTTTAGGGTTGGTTTAGGGCTCGAGGTTTGGGGTTTAGGGTCTGGGTTTGGAGTGTAGGGTTTGGGATTTAGGGTTTGGAGTTCCATAAACCCTAAACGCTAAACCCTAAAGGCTTCAATACTTCGACCTGACTTGCCAAAGATACCCGAACCCTAGAAACCTTTCAACCACAAACCCACAGATCAAGGCGTTGAGGGTTTACGGTTTAGGGGTTTAGGGTTTAGGGTTTAGGGAAAAAAAGTTCAGTTCAAAGTCTTTAAAAGCTGAAAGAAAGCTACCGTAAACCCTAGACTAAACCCGAAACCCCGGTAGAACCCTCAGAGTGTCCCACAACGTTCAGGATTTCTTCCCCAAAGCGAGGAACACGCATACTTCATGAGGCAGCTTCTCGCCACGCTACTCTAAACCAGGGCCAGCAGAAACCCCTAAAAAAACCCTAAGCCCGAAGCTAGAAGCTTTAAACCTCTAAGCCCGAAGCCCCTCACCCCTAACGTAGGAACCTGAGTTTAAGAAACCCCGAGCCCTACAACCCCAAATATACTAGACTTCATATGAAGAACCCTAATAAAGACGCAGGGTTTCTTAATCGGGTTCCTACATTGAACCCCAAGCCCCTAAGCCCTAAACCTACAACCCCAAATCCCCAAACCCCAAACCCCAAAACCCTAAACCCCACAACCCGAAACCCTGAACCCCAAACCCCAAACCCCAAAACCCTAAACCCCTACAACCTACAACCCTAAACCCTAGACCCTAAACCCTACAACCCCTAAACCCTACACCTGATATGACTGTCCCCTTTTCCATCCCTCAAAGGAACCCCAATAGTAGATCCCCCTTTGAGGAGCCCCAAACATCCCTTTAAACATCCCAAAACCCCTACAACCCTAAACCCTACACCCAACAACCCTAAACCCTCCAATTAAGCCATTATCGAAGCCTTAAAGAAACCTTCTAGATCCCTTTAAGGAGCCCCAAAAAAGAGACACCAACAAACCCTAAACCCCTAAACCCTCAGGTTCCGATATTAAACCCGAAGCCCCTAAACCCCTACAGCCCTAAAACAAAACCCCCAAAGCTCGGAGTCCTGGAGGAGGCGGCCCGGCACAGGCCACACGGCCACGAAGACTCGGGGGACCGCTGGTTCCTCCAGGCTCCGGGTGTTAGGGTTGTAGGGTTTAGGGTTTAGAGGTTGTAGGGTTGTGGGGTTGTAGGGTTGAGGGTTGAGGGGCGGATAAGATGGGGGGTGTTATGGGTCTTTTCCGGTGTTTATGTTGTGTTTTTAGTGGGTTGTAGAGGGTTTTGGCACGTGTTTTTGGGGCTGGGTGTGTATGTCGGGCTCGGTTGAGGGATTTCGGGTTTAGGGACGCGGTTTGATGGGTCAAGGTTCAAGGATTTGTGATTCAGGGTGTATTTGGTTAGTACTTGGTTAGTTCTCCAAAATAGGGTCCCTTCTAGGGTCCTGTTTTTACAGGGGTGCCGCAAAAAGGGACCCCACTTTAGAGAACTACCGATTATTTTTGGCTACGCTTAGCACCTCTTCTCGAAGGGATTCAAAATGGGCGTGAGAGGCCATGCGCTTAGTACAGGGGCGTTCCTACTTGGAATAGGGTGTGGTATTTAGGGCTTAGGGTCTAGGGTTTTGGGAGTATGTTGTACCGTACTTCAATTAAGGAGCTTAGGGTCTAGGGTTTAGGGAGTATGTTGTACCGTACTTCTTAAGGAGGAACCTTAGGGAGGACGGTTCTAATCATGAAGCCCCCTAAGTTTACGGCTGCAGCACCGGCTCCGCACCCCTCCCTCAAGCCCAAACCCGGCGATGAAATCCTGAAAGCCCTGAGCCTAAACCCTAAGCCCCTAAACCCTAAACCTGCTAAACCCCTAAACCTAAACCCTAAACCTCTCAAGGACTCTGACCTCCTAAGCCACCAGGCCTACCCAAGCCAGAAAGCTCGCACGCCAGCAGTCTTGAACCTTATAGACCCCATAGAACCCATGCAGAACCCCGAGCAAACCCTAAACCCTAAGCCTAAATCTCTAAAGCTCAACAGGGCCGGGGTCCCGAAGGAGTCACCTCAATTCCGAAGCATTCTTTGAGGGACTCCGGGGGGTTGGAAAGCAGCGCTGCAATTGGAGTCTGGAAGATTTAGGCTTGTCGGGCTTTGGGCTTTTAGGGTTTGGGGGGCATTAGAACGTAGGGTTTAATCAAGGGTTTAGGCTCCGCATCTGGTTTTTTGTTTTGAATTTGGAGTCCAACCCCTTGCGGCCCGAACTCAAACCGCAAACCCAAAACCGCAAACCCAAAACCCTAAACCCTAAACTCAAAAAGAAGTCGCGAGCGCGGGGGCCCGACCCGCCAAACCTCAGAAGGCGTCCCATGGCGTCACAGACCGCCCCCCACGGTATGGGGTTGAGGGCTTTGGGTTCCCAGAGAGCCCAATACCCCTGAAATAAGGAATATACCTTAAACCATGATATTAAGGCCCTATAGTTTAAGGCATATTCCTTATTTAAGGGGTCTTGGGCTCTCTGGGTTTGGTTGTTAGGTGCCGAGGAGCCCGGTATGATGCTAGGAGGACATGTTGGAGCAGTCAACCCAGAGCCTGACGGAAGGAGTGGTAATATAGGGGCCTTATTAATAATTACCTATACTGTTTTGGGGGATCCTTATGATAATTATCATCTAATATACCCCAGAACCCTATTCTAATTACTAAGGCCCCTACATTATATAGGCTCCCTCGATTCTTCAATGCCCCGACAGAAAGGTCTTCAAACGCGGTTGGGTTTCTTTCGCTGACCCAGCGACCTGTTCCAGGTTCCGGTGTACACCAAAGCCCTGGTCGAGGCCCAGCACGTCCGTGGGAGGGGGGTGGTCTCTGTCTCTTTTTTTTCTTTGTAAATCTTTGATGCTTGGGATTTTGTTTTTAAGCTCTTCTTTCTGAGAATTAGAACTTAGTTCTGAGGGGGCTGGAGAGTTTGTAACGTAGGACTTTTTCATGGCTGGGAGGGAAACATGAAGAAGCGATTGCCACAGTAGGTTTCGGAGCCCTAAAGCCTAATCCCCAAACCCTAAAACCTAAACCCTAAACCCTAAACCCTAATCCCCAAACCCTAAAACCTAAACCCTAGAACAGATACAAGAAGTAGACGTGTTTGAGCATCCTGGCTTTGGGATTAGGGCTGGTGCGAATGACTTCGCAGAGACATGACTGCGAAGCCCCAATTCCTAGAGCCTGAAGACCTAAACCCAACACAGGGGTCGGAATATTATATTTAGCAAAAGCATATCCCCTCATAGTTATAGTGCAACATGGAGCGCTTGAGTCCAAAAAAAGGTTTCGATAACGCTTTGAAAACCTCTAAAAACCCGACAGGCAGCCTAAACCCTAAAGCCTCTACGGTCTATAGGGTATAGGCCATACCCGCAACCCTAAACCCTAAGGCTTAAATCCCAAACCATAAACCCTAAACCCTGAACCCTAAACGCTCAACCCTCAACCCTCAACCCCTAAACTCTCTAATTAAGCCCTTATAGAAGTCTTTAGAAACCCTTATAGATCCCTTTAAGGAGCCCTAAAGGAGACCCAAAAAACCCTATAAAGGAGCCCTAAACCCCAAACCCCAAACCCTAAATCCCTATTAAGGAGCCCTAAACCCGAAACCCTAAACCCCAAACCCCTCTTAAGGAGCCTTAAACGAGACCCTACAACCACAAACCAGGCGACTGGTTTCAGTGCCTGACCCCTCAAAGGGGACCCTTCTTAACCCTGCTTGTGGCTCTCTTAACAGGGACCTTATTGAGAGGGTCTATATCCCCAAGGGTCCCCCTAATCTTAAACCCTAAGCCAGGCGACTCCTTTCAGTGCCTTGATCTTCGGCTTGATCCTCGTGAACGCGGCTCGGCGCTGCTCCTGCGAACCTTGAGACTTACGGCTTGGAATGAGGGTTCTGTAGAGTTTCGGGTTTAGGGGTTCAGGGGTTTAGGGGTTTAGGGTGTTTTATGTTTGAGGGTTCAGGGTTTAGGGTTTAGGGTAGAAGTTTTTGTAGGGCTTCTAGGGTGCTAGCAGGCTGTTCAGGGTTTGAGAAGGCCTTTGCCAGTCGACTTTTCTGAGTTCAGGGGTTAGGATTCAGAGTCTAGCAGGGGAGTGCCCTAGCCCAGAGAGCCCAATACCCCTTAAATAAGGAATATACCTTAAGTCGTAATATTAAGGCCCCTATAATGTAAGGTATATTCCTTAGTTAAGGGGTTTTGGAGTCTCTGGGAAGTTGGTGGTACCACTATAGCAACAACATCCCCTCACAGTGCCTACAGTGCCGCCCTCAGACATCCTGGCAGTCTGAGTGGTTGCATGGCATACCTCCTTTCTTCCGAAGGATGTTATGTTCGAGGCTCCTAGAATGGAAGGGCAACGGACAAAGTTCCACGTGCTTTCGGATTTGAACAACTCTAAAGCCTAAACCGTAAACCCCAACATGCATCTCTTACCTCTCACCTTAGGCTCCGAAACGCTGGAAAGCCTCGAGGCTTTCGGCACCTCATGATTGCAGGGTGCTTGGGTTTCGGTTCTAGGTGCTGCTAAGGAAGCCAGAAACCCTGAGCCCTGATGCCGAACAGCTCTGCAGCTTGGGGTTTACAGGGCTTCAGGTTAAGGGAAGGCCCCCGCAGGCTAAGTTCCCAAATCCTCAAACCCCAAACTTGAAGCCCTAAAGCCCCGCAGCCTTCCGAAACTCCTGCAGAAAAGCCGAGCCGAGGCCATTTTGCTTGGGGTCGAGATCGACTATGCCTCGACCCTACCGGAGGCCGCAAATGGGTTCCGGTTCCATAAGGGCTCTTCTAGGGTTCCAAAAGGATTCCGTAAAGGGCATTGTTTTTATTCTATATAGGGGTTCAAATATCTACCTGTACTATTTTAGGGGTTCCTTGTTATAATTAAAGTATAACATACCCCAAAACCCTACTCGAATTATTAAGGCTCCTACCATTACAGGACCCCCAAAACCCGATTCTAATTATTAAGGCTCCTACCATTACAGGACCCCCAAAACCCGATTCTAATTATTAAGGCTCTTACATTACAGGTTCATGGTTCACGGTTCCCACCTCGGACGCTTGGGTTTCGGATTGTGCTGGGGGGCTGTGGATGGCCGAGGGTGCAGGACTTTGGACTTGGGGGACGGTGGTGTATTTGGGGGTTTTAAGATTCAATGTTCAAGACTTGATAATTTAAGGTTTAAGGTTGGGGTTTAGGGTTTAGGGTTTGGGGTAAGATTCAATGTTCAAGACTTGATAATTCAAGATTTAAGGTTGGGGTTTAGGGTTTAGGGTTTGGGGTGTGGGGTATAGTTTGGAGGATGAGGGAGATTTGGGGGTTTGGAGTTTGGGGCAGGGTAGCTGGAAAAGCGTGCGTGCAGCGGTCGGCATGCCAATGATGCAGCTGTTCGAAGTCGAGGAAAGCAGGGTTTAGGGTTGGTTTGGGGTTTAGGGGTTCAGGGTTTAGGGTTTAGTTTAAACTTTCATTTCCTTGGGTATGGTGTTAGTAGCAAAAGGATTGAAGGTAAATTGTTAATAGCAGGCTTCCTAGCGTTATTGGCATTCTGCCCATGCACACTCAATCTCCCTCCCTCTCTCTCTCTCTCTCTCTCTCTCTCTCTCTGTCTCTCGAACCATATCTTGCTTAGAGTTCTAGATGCACTTTATTTGTGTTGGCAAGACCACCGTGATCAACGGGATCATATCTTGATATTTCTGCCTTGGCACCATGTCCTGCTGCTGGGTGTTGGGGAGCTGGTTTTCGCTTCTGCTGGAGGCCTTCAAGGTTTTAGGATGAAGGTAACCTGAGGTGTACCCTCGACGCGTTGGCTTTGCGGCCCCGCGCTTTCCGGATCGGCCACTGTGTACCGCGAGGGGCACGCAGAGATGGAGTTGGGCTGGCACAGTCAGTTGACCGTGGGCGAGCTGTTGAACGCAGCCGCCAACACGTGCAGCAGAAACTCCAATGGTTGGTATACCGCCTGGCGGGTGCAGGATATTCACATCTTCCTGTGTCACAACGGTGCCAGACCGGCTTTCGAGACCAGCCTCGAAGAATCTGCTCGCATCAACATGCTGCGCGCGGCCAAGGCCATTCGGAGGGGCCGCTTTACTCTGATCCTAACTCTAAACCCTAATTAAACCCTAATCCCTAAAAAAAACCCTAAACCCCTAAACCCTAAACCCTAACTCCTTCAATTAGAGGACTTAGAGGCTCTGCCCCGAACAACCTTGGGGATGCCAGCAGGAAGCAAACCTGAACCTCAGCTCCGCGTGGAGCGGTTCAGTGGCTGTAAACCCAACACAAAGAAGCGCAGGTAGCAGCCCTTAGAGTAACCAGGAACCCGGAAAAGAGCCCTTGAAGAACCCCATTCTACTTCTTAGAGCCTTCGAGAGCCATTGACACCCCGAGCCCCGGTTGGATGTAGGAACCAAAGCCCCGAAGCCCGAATCAAAGGGCCTTAAGAAAAGTTCTGCAGGGGATACTATGGTATACTTATAAGAAGGACTTAGAATAGGAGATTCGGGCTTTTTTTATGGTATATATACTTAGGAAAAAAGGAACCTTAAAAAACCTCGAGCCTTCTGGAGTAATTACACTCCCACCCCCCTTTTGTCTTAAGCCCTAAGTCGCACGGAGCCCTGCAAGCCTTACAGAGCCTAGAAATGCTGAAGTTTTGAGAACCGAGGCCTGTTCAGCCCGACAGTTCAGGGCTTCGGTTTTGGGGTCCCCGAAGCCCTCAACCCTAAGCCCTAAGCCCTAAACCCTAAACCAGCCCTAAGCCCCTAAACTTTAAACCCTAAACCCTAGACCCTAGACCCCTAAACTTTTAAACCCTAAACCCTAAGCCCTAAGCCCTAAACCCCGAAAAAGGCGGAGATTCCAGCATGGCTCGGGCTTCTGAATGCCGTCATCGTTTGCATCTTTGCCCCTCGGTTTTTACACAGAGTTCTGCGGGCTGTGCTGGAGGGTGGTTTGGGGCTTAGGGTTTAAGGTTTAGGGGTTTAGGGTTCAGGGTTTAGGGGTTTAGGGGTTTAGAGTTTAGGGTTTGAGGGTCTGCGGTTTAGTAAGGGGTTTACTAGGTTTTTGTTTTTAAATCCGGGTCTCGCAGAGTCTAGTCGGGCTTAGAGCTGTTGAGATTCCAAGTTTTGATCTTGGGTTCGTGCTGCGGGGCTCGAGGTTCCGGCGGAAGGGGCCTTCCATGCCGAAGTCTACAAGCTTCTGGGGTGGCGGGACTGGATTCAGGGTTTTAGGGGAATAGGGTTTAGGGTTTAGGCTTAGGGTTTGAGGTTTTACCCTAGGCGAGTGAGCTTTTTCAGGCACTGCCGGGTCTACTTTCTCGACTTCAGTTCCTACAACCTAGCTAATATAGAGGCCTGGATATATAATTAGGAATCTTAAATCATGCAGCTGCAGTAAACCATACCCTTTTCCTTATTCCAACTGCTAAACCCCATATATTCAAGAAGGCCACAACCCTTTAGCCCCCCAAAAACCCTATCAAGCCCTCAGGTTCTAGAGATCAAACCCTAAACCCTAAACCCTGAACCCTATCCAGCCCTCAGGTTCTAGAGATCATCCTCAAGTTGATCGCTTATGGCTGCCGTGGCTTCTGGCGGGGGCCGCAGGCACTTTGGCTTGCAAGGTTTATCAGCTCAGCTTCGGGGGTTGGCATTCGGGGCATAGGGCTCAATGAGGTTTAAGGGTTCGGGGTTTAGGGTTTAGGGTTTAGGGGTTTAGGGGTTTAGGGGTTTAGGGTTTAGGCAATGAGGTTAGAATCTGGAAGACAGCATTTATGTTTGAAGGGGCGATGAGTTGTGGGATTTCTTCACGTTGCATCTTGGACGAACCTCTGTGCTTGCTGCCCCGGGCCAGGTTATGCTGTGCTGTGCTATGCTGTGCTATTCTATGAGATGCTACTGCTATGCCATGCTGAGCCACTATGCCCTTTTCTACTATCCTAACCTCTCCTATCCGGTCCTGTACGTACGAAGACAACGCCACACTACACTCCTCTACACCACACTACTACACTACGATACACTACACTACCCTGCACTGCACTACACTTCACTACACAACACTACACTACACATACCATGCTAGACCATGCTGTGCTATGCCATGCGAGGATGGCGCGAACAAACTTCCCAAAGCCAGGCCTGGTGGAACATTTTCGATTTCTTCATCGTAGCCGTCTCTGCGTTGGAGACGGTCATGGATCTGTGGGCTCGGCACCTCGGTCGGAGGTCGAGAACAGAGCCAGGGCTAGCACATTCGTTTGACCTCTCTGTGCCTATCTATCTGTCCATGTACCTCCTACCTACCTTCCTGCCTGCCTACCTACCTACCTACCTACCTACCTGCCTACCTGCCTACCTGCTTACCTACCTTAAATGTCGACCTAGCTACCTATCTGACCTATCTGGCTGTGTTTGGAATTTTTGAGTTGCAGATCCTTGGGTCCTAGCCGAAGAGTCGTAACCTTGGCATAGCTTGGATTTCTGGTGCCTCTGCATTGAAGGTAAATATATAGAAGCCTACGTAACTACCTACATTATTCCTTAGGTCTTAGGGTTCTTATGTCAACTATACTGGAAAGGATCCCAAACACTATTCTAATTATTACAAGGCCCCTAAACCCTAAACCCTATTCTAATCATTAAGGCCCCTAAACCCTAAACCCTAAACCCTATTCTCCCTATGAAGGCCCCCAAGCCCTAAACCCTAAACCCTCTTCTAACTATGAAGGGCCCTAAACCCTGTTCTAAACATGAAGGTCCCTAAACCCTAAACCCTAAACCCTATTCTAACTATGAAGGCCCCTAAACCCTAAGCCCTAAACCCTATTCTAAAGGCCCTACACCCGATAATTCTAACAATGAAGGCCCCTAAACCCTAAACCCTCAACCCTATCCTAGCTATGAAGGCCCCTAAACCCTAAACCGCATCCTAAACTATGAAGGCACCTAAACCCTAAACCCTAAAGTTCATCCTAAAGTATGAAGGCCCCTAGACCCTAAACCCTAAAGTTCATCCTAAACTATGAGGGCCCCTAGATTACCGCTGAAGGAGCCCTTGAGAAGGGAACCCCCCCGGAGCTGCAAGGAGCCTTGAACCCAGAGAACCCAATACCCCTTAATCAAGGAATATACCTTTAAATTATAGGAGTCTTAATTAAGGAATATACCTTAAATTATAGGGGCCGTAATAATTTATGATTTAAGGTATATTCCTTNNGGGTATTGGGCTCTCTGGGAAAGGCTACCTTTAAAGAGTTTCAGAGAGGGCTACCCCGGGGCCTGCCTTTGTGAAAAGGCAAGTCTCCAAAGTTTGGGGATCAGGCTTTTTTTTTTTTTTT